GAGGGCAATTTTTCATCAGCCAGGTCTGTCAAATCCATTTTCTTTCACAAATTGGACAGTCGTATCTATGTGTGCTCTATCAGCCATACGAAAATGATATTCTTTTGATTGGTAGTATTGGGTTTTATTTTTGGATGTTCTCTCTTTTTATCAAGGGTAAGGAAAAATATCTTGACAGTCTTCAATATTTTTGAAAGCACATGATATTTACAAAGGATAACACCAGAATTAAACTTAAATTATTTGATAGATATTACTTCATGAACCTTAGAACCATCTCTGAGACAACAGAGGGGAGCAAAGGACAAATGCTTATTAGCCTGTTATATGCCAGGAACTAGACTAGATCATTTATATAGGTCACCTCCTTTGGTCCTCACAAAAACCCTATGATAAGTGACACAGAGAGTAAATGAAACCAAGATTCAAATCAAGCTCATGAGGCTTCAAAACTCATGTTCTGAGTGGCTTATGATGAGGAAAAAAAAAACTGAAAATAACCTAAATGGCAATACACAAAAAAATAATCTATATCTATGGTGTATCTACTCACTTATAGATGTCTCATGTACTAACAGAGGATGAGGCCATGTTTATACATTCATAGGTAGAGAATGAGAAAATAATATGGTAAAGCAAATATAGCAAAGTGATAACTATATGGGAAAAGAATATACAGTAGTTTCTTGTATTATTTGTTCAATTTCTCTAAATTTGAATTATCTGAAAATACAAAAGCTTAAAGAACCAATAGATATACATGTCTATTAGTTCTCCACCATTTGGTCTTCTTCTCTATGCTTGGAGCAAAAGCCCTAAAATCATTCTGTGAATTTGTCCTTTACATTGCTTGTCACAGAATGACCTGGGGTGTGTTGAGCTACGTATTTCCCACAGCATAGAAATATATGGGAAACCTCCTACTTTGTTTCACAAGTCCAGCAAAATCTTGATAGCAGAATTTGACAAATCTAGCCCACAAAAACTCGTGGCCCAATATAAAACAAAACTGTAGACTCAAATATATGAAATAAAATATAGCGTATTCAAATCTAGCAAAGTCTTTTTATTCTTCTTCTGTTTTAAGAGAGCTTTTACTATAGGGTGTGTTCGCCAGAAAGAGCTAGATGGTATAGCCTAGCATATATACCTAGGTTATATAGTATTGCTTATCGCTTCTAGTCTACAAACCTGTACAGCATGTTACTGTACTGAATATTACAGGCAATTATAATTGTAACAGAGTTTTTAAGTATTTTGTATCTAAAAATATATAAGCACAGAGAAGGTACTGGAAAAAACATAGTATAAAAAAATTTTAGAGAGGATTTTTGTTTGTTTTGCTATAGGGCACGTGTGCTCACCACAGAGACAGAGAGATAGAAATTGAGAAATCCCCCCCCTCCCAGGGGGAATGGCCATGCCACAATCCCTTCTCCTCCATTCTCCTCTTGGGATCTTGGGCACACATGCACACGTGCCCAGTGTGAGTTTAAGCTACCCAATCCTGGACTCGAACCATGGTTGACTATGTGGGAGTCCAGCAACATAACCATTATGACATCTGCTGGTCCCAAGTCTAGAAAAGTCTTAAACCATTCTTAGGTAGGATTCATTTCAAAATCGAGTTTAGTTCAACATGAGGAAATCGAGAGAAATTAAAAGAGGTATTTCAGGACCAAGAGAGATGGTGTAATGGCTAAGTCGCTGGACTCCCATGTAGTCGACCACAGTTCAAGTCCCGGACCTGGTGGCTTAAACTCACACCAGGCATGTGTGTATGTGTGCCCAAGATCCCGAGAGGAGAATGGAGGAGAAGGGTTTGCGGTGTGGCCATTATCCCTGGGGGTGATTTTTCGCTTTCTTTCTCTCTGTTTCTCTCTGTCTTTCTGGTGAGCACACACACACCCTATAGCAAAAACCTCTCAAAAAAAGAGGTATTTCATCTGATAAATGGTAAAGAGGCATTTTTATTTAGAAATGTCTTTTTTATTATTTATTTATTTCTGTATCTATTTATTTGTTGTTATTTTCAAGCCACCAGGTCTAGGACTAGAACCACAGTTGACCATGTGGGAATCCAACACTCCAACCACTACACCACCTGCTGGCCCCTAGCAACATCTTTTTGCATACTAGGAACAGAACACAATAAAGGACAGCTACCAGAAATAAGACATATATGGGGCCAGCAGGTGGCATTGTGGTTAAAGGCACTGGGTTCCCAAATGGCCCAA